AAACTTAAAAGCACAGGGAAAAGACATCCTGGAGAAAGTCATTCAATGGTGAATTTTGTATATTGATGACTGGTGTACTAAAATACTTCATGACTCCTAAGAAATGCAAAGACCAAGGCTTAAGGATGTCAATGTTTCTTAAGATTATTATTATATTTGACACATTTGGGTAAACTTTGAAAAAAAAGTCATGATCTTTTGACTGCATGATTCTCATCAAGTTTGATCAGAAAAGCCCACCACTGGCTTTGAAGATATACCCCATAGAGGGTTTTCTTTGCTTTTCAGCTCTACGTTTTGAGAAGCAATGCATCCAGAATAAACCAGACAAAAGCATAATTACTCTGCTTTGTATACACTCCTTGTGACTGCTCAGAAGGAAAATTAGCATGTACCACAACACATTGCACTCCAGCCATCTGTTCCCCATAAAAATGACATATTTTACATTATTTGGGTATTAAAAATAATCACATTTTTTTGTTTCCTTGAATTTTTAATACTTTTCTGAAATATGCTGTAATATGCTTTTGTTACCACCATTTTTTGTTTCGTAACTGATAGGGGAAGCAAATGACTTCTCCATGAAGTGAGAAAAGCAAATTCAAAGTTTTCTATATCCTATTTGATCATTGATAAATCAGTGCTAGATTTTAAATAAAATTTAAACTGACAGATGAACACCATTTAGGAAAGATACAAGGAGGTATAAACTATATGTAGAGAGAGAATTCCTGTGCATATAATTTTTACTGCACGTGATCACTGCCTTCTCATCAAAAAGATGGCAACACACAATCTACATTGTTTCTAGTAATATATTTTATTTTGAACATTTTTTGAAAAAAATGTCAAATGAGACTTTCTATGTTTTTGTAAACCAGTAGTGTTTTTGTCAAATCTTTCCTCTCTTATTAAGACCCTCATTTAGCATTGCATAGATAAATATTTGAAGAGATCGATTTGTTTGGCAGGAAATCCTATTTGATATGCTTTGATATGAGAGAGTCAAGTATATGATACTCCTTCCAGTGAAAATAGAAATGAGTGCATGTAGTCTTGTTTTTCTCAAAAGCCCAGTAGTTGAGAGCCTAGCACTGATAGTCAGTATTTTGCTTACATTGATTATTTCACCTTTAGTTTATTTCATAAATACTCCTGCTAACAAAAATGTGTTCTTGCAACTGGTGTTTGTATATGTATAGTATTGTGTAGGAATGCATATTTCTGTCATTTTCTGTGTTCATTACGTGTTATATCTAATTTGATAAGTATTTCAATAATGAGATAAACCTAAAAACACAGAGTATGGCAGTTGTATCCAGGAATGACTATGGATGAGACATTTTGTCCTTCCATATGCATCCAGCTCATCAGGGAATCTAAATTTCTCCCTTATTTTCATCAACAACTGCACTATGGAAAGTTGTCTGTCCCAATTGAAAAACAGGAGTTCTTCATCAGCTGGATGCATAGATTAGAGAATTGATCTTAAGAGAAGCAATTCAGTTTCATCCAATTATTTCCTTCAACTTTTTTCTTCCCCTGTCTTCTCTCTCTCTCTTCTCTCTCTCTCTTTACTTATTTATTAATTTTATTTATTTATTTATTTATTTATTTTCCTGCCATAGAATCATAAGAATGTACTATGTTATAAAATCCTGTAAACTGAGATTATCCACCCTAGATGCTGTGTTCTGGGCAGTTCTTCATGCAGAGGTCTGCACCAGAGGTCTCTGCAATGTTTGTCTGAGACTAGACTCTTTTGTCACCATGACTTGGCCTGTAGCCTCATGCAGAAAAAATAATTCCTCTAGTTTAGTTTAGTTAACTGGCGTTAACTAAAACGATAAAATGTGATTCTGTTGCCAAACAGGAATTGTGGTTACATTCATAGCAGAATTTGGTTCAAGGTGGATAAGATATATTCTCCTCCCTGTTGCAGCTTATTTTGGAAGAGCTTGGAGTATCTTGCAGCAGAGCTAAATACTCCTGTGAGTGGCAGATAAAAGAGGTTGCGTGACAGTGATCTCCTGTGCTACCAAACCATCGTGTCTTGAAGCAGAGCCACCATCTGTTCTGTTTGCAGTGACTTTGTACTTGCTGCTTGCAGTTGAGGCGAACGCACATGCAGGAAAGGGTCTGTGTGCACACAGCAGCCCTGGTAGGAGATGGCTGGTTTGGGCTTAATTGGCTCATTTGGCTGAGGCTTCAGACTTGAATTGAACATTTCACAACCTAGTGCCTTGTTTTTTTTTTCTCTCTTTTATTAATAAAGCTTGATTTCCTATCTTGAAATGTTCGTTTGCCTTTCCTGCATTATCAGTGAGGTGACTACCAGGCATCTCTCACTTTCAGTGATGTTTGTTCATGTTCTTATCACTTAGAACAGTTTCGTCTTAACCATTAATGGCAGCACTGATAGTAATTCATCTATTGTTGATTATTCCTATATAAGTTGCTTAGTATTTTCCAGTAAAATACATCCTTTTTTGCCTGGTGGAGAAACCTCCCTTTCTTTACAGTATTCCTCAGTATAAAATGACCTCTTACAAAAGTTGCTGTCATTCCGTAGGTATTCCATTAAGTGTTCCTTGTTTACCTTCTCTATAACACTACCAATTAATAACCGCAAGGCTTTCAGACCAAGAGAGTATTTTAAGCTTTAGTGCATATTGTTTATCTGTAGCTTTTTTGATTGTTGTGATAAATGCTTATGATAACGCTTGACTGCGATGTCTCTTCTCCCATCAGATTCATTTTCTCATACAGCTGTGGTGCTCTTGTCATCTGCTATTTCCCAAGCCACGGTTCCCTCATCAGTTTGTGGCCAGAACCCAAATCTTGATGATCCTTTTCCATCCAGTTCAACATTGATCTTTCATCTTGTGCATTCTTTTAACCAGAAATCTTTTGCCAAAAACCTGACAAGATTGTACTGGGCGTCATCAACAGCAACATCAGGCTTGATTTCAGTGAGCAAAGATGAAACAGCTGTTTCATTGTCCAGATCAGCACTCAAGCACTCAATATTTGGTCATAATTTTTTCCAGCTTTGCCTGGCTGTGATAGCCTTGATGTTTTTCCCTATATGACTAATGGTGTAACTTATTATTATATGTTTCTGCTCCATTTCTTCAGTGGTTCTGAAGTAGATATTGTTTCTTCAGACAATATTTTCTATCTTAACATCTTTTTTACTGTTCTGTATTACCTCTTGCCTTAACAGAAACTCTTGCTTCGGTTGAGTAAGTCAGTATTTTTGCGGTGTTGCATCTAAAAATGCCATCTAATGGGTCGACAGTTGCTCTGTTGGGAAAACTGCAGATGGCTTTGCCATATGAAAAATTGTATCTGATAAACCGCTAGATTTTGGAAATAAGTGGTGTAATATGTCTGACCAAAGTTTACAAAACTTTACTTCAGTCTCCCTGTACATACTCAGGGGAAGTATTTTTATGCCATCAAACTTGTCTTTTCAAAGCTGATGGGATTTATCTATTATTGCTAGAGGACACCAAAGGGGCATGTAACTGTCTTGCAAAATATCTTTTTAGGACTTTGGAGACAAAGCTGGTGTCTGTGCATTCAGAGAGGAGAAATGAGAGTTCTATTTGTTATTAGCATATATATTCTCCCATTTACTTTGTATATTGTTGTATATACAACTGAGTTGATTTCACTGAAATAGGATTAAATAGATGAGCATCTTTCATATTCAAATTTATTTTTATAGTGGAAAATGATAAAGGCTTTTGAAAATAATTCTTCGTGAATTAAATTATTTTTGTGTTTGTTTTGGGGTTTTGTATGCGTGCACGTGTTGCACACTGCTTGATTCCATAATCTGCTTTCCATTGGAGAATATTAACGAGCACATTGCCCGCCTCACACGAATTTGTTTCCCACAGAGATTCCTAATGCAACGTGTGAGGTTTCTCATTACCCAGCTATATGGATTACATTTCCACTCCAATACCAACAAAATTAAATCACACAAAAATGTGTTCAGATGCATGTCACCCTAATGTCTGATCTTCAGAGGAACCTTTGTCATCCTTAAATGATAACCCCGTGCAAAATCAACACTAGAAATACTGTCTGTTAGAACGCTAGAACTGTTGTCAACCGAAATACATCTACAGTTCCACGTCAGCTAATGCTGCAGCAAAAACTCACCAGCAGGTCTGCAGCAAGCTTTTTTTTTCTTTTTTTCTTCCTAAAGATTTTGTCTTTTCTAATTTGTGTTAATAAAAAAGAAATAACAAAACCAATGGATTTATGGGTGTGCACAACTGAATGCTTTTTGTTAATGTGAATTAATACTTTCCTCTTTTCTAGTTTTTAAAACAAGGATGCAGTCCTTTAGTTTCTTTCTTTTACATTTGTTAAACAGTGTCGTGTTTTAAATTGTTTCAGTGATTCAGAGATGCTTAGAAGAAAAATCTAATACAAACTTAGAAATAGTCAGAATCTGGCTACGCATTTCTTTTTTCTCTCAAAAATGAAACACAAATATAGCAGTGCATGAATAACACTTTTTCTCTAAATTGAATTAAGATTAATAAATTTCTTTATAAAACCTTGAATCTTCATATCTGGCTAACATTCTTCATTTTCCATTAAACCTCTAGATCCTCTAGATTTATTCATATGTGTTTTGTTTGGTTAGCAAACATGGTATTTTCAGTTGATAAATTTAAGTTCATTTCCCTTTTTTTTTGTAATTTTAGAACATTTCCTTCAGACTATCAGAAACTAAAATAAAAACCTGCAAGTTCAAATCTGAATATAATGTTGCAGCTGTTTAGCAAAGAAGTTGTAAAAATTTGTTTTCATAATGTACGTGCTCTAATCACAATCTCAAATTATCTTCTAGAAATTTTGGAAGAAGCAGTTAAAGATATGCTCCTGAGGGTGATGTAATACTTCCATCTGTATGTTTTCTTTGGGTTTAAGTTTGTCACAAGGCACTTCTTTCTCTAGCAGCCTGCAGGAGCTGTTCCTCTTGGCGTGTCTGTAACTCGAAAGAAGGAGGATGAAGCCTCCGTTGGCAGTGCCCCTTTGGCAAGGCAGCAGTCGAATCAAGCGTCCGAGTATGCCAGCAGCCCTGTCAAAACAAAAACAGTAACAGGTAGGGTCACTTTTAATTGCATCTAATGGTTCTGCCTTGGCCTCTCTCAGTAACATGCGTGAACAGTATCAGCTGTGCAAATACCATGCAATGACTTTCTGATTTAAGCAAATATTATCTTGGAAAAATACAATTTATTTCATTAGAAATCATCAGACTTTTAATTTGAAAATGCGTTTAATTTCCATCGCAGATTTGTTTTCTATTACTATTTGGAGTCCGGATTATTTCAGATAATGTGTTTTGCAAGACAAGATAAGAGAGATGTGTTTTCAATAGAATATCAGCAATTTGCCTTGGTGATTATATTTTAGTCCGGAATTTTGTCAGACTTTAGGCACTGTGAGTAATCCCCTTCATCTCAGACTATTCACAGTGCTGAAACTCTGGCATGTCTGCAAGGCATTCAGAGCGAAGATTTGTGCGTAAACATTCACAGCGTTCAAAATCACTTTCTCATAGAAAATTTATTTGTTGCCATTTCTGTTTCTGGAGTTTATGCAACTTGTAAATTTAGGAATACTCTCTGGCCACTTATGAGTGCTAAAGCTAAATTTTATTATTACTAATCAAGATGCTGTGGCATTCTGGGATTTTTCTAGGTTATTTAATCAAAGAGTACTGTCTGCAAGTAGTGTAGTAGGACATCTTCCAGCAAAAGTGACTATCCAGCTGAGACTCTTAGTAATCCTTCTGAAATACACTGAACAAATTCTCTTTTCCTTTGCATTGATGTTTATTTCCAGATAGCCATGAAGTATTTCAAGATGTTGTCTGCTGAAACTGAGATTAGACTCTCATCCACTAGTGGTAGAGTTTAATTGCTATTTTGAGATAGAAAGGGATAAGGACAGAAAATCTGTTGGCCGAATATTATGTGGGATCCAGTGTTACAATTCTTCATAAAATAAAAGTCTTTGGAATTAGCCTGTTTCGTTTAAGGATATCCTTTATGTGGAAATGTTATGAAATAACTATGTTCTTATGTTATTAATTATGCTTAGCATTTATAGTTTTGTCCTGCCAGCATCATAAACAGTATGTTTTGCTTGCAAATATTTGTTTCCTTCTATGGTTCAGTATACCCATCCCTATCAACAAACCACGAAGGTGTAACTCACTGGAGAAACCTGCATGATTTTGAATGTTTTACTGTAAAAAATAGGGGTAAAGGTGTGCAAATGTAAGGGAAGCAGAAGAGGGAGAAAATCTACTTTTTGGCTAGTGTATATATATGTATATGTAATATAATATATATATTTTTAAAGAACATGATGCATTCATGACCTTTTTTCTTTTTTTGGTCATATGAAAGTCTAAACTGAGAAGCTCTGAAAATTTCAATTACCAAAGATATTTTTGACTCAGGTGAAGAAGGGAGTTATTTGCTTTTTGGAGTTACTTAAGTATATTACCTGATAATATAAAGGGGTATATTCCCATTAAAGTTCTTTCTTTAATTCATTATGAAGCCACAGTCGATTAAAGTAATGTCGTAGCATGAGTCACAACATATCCGGGATTGATTAATACGAACTTTTGGGGTACTGTCCGTGCCGTTTGGCTAAATACCTATTGCTTAAAAAATTATGTAGAGTGGAACAGTTATGTGAATTAGTGCATTTACACTTAATACAGTAAAAATGAATTTTTTAGGAAGCAGCTTGGTAAATATGGTAAAAATGGTAAAAAAAAAATGAACAGCTTGGTAAACATGTTCATGGAGCAGAAATAAGGTTTAAAATCTGAAAGTTATAAAAAGAAGTTAAGGAGAGCTATAAGTGATAAGAAGTCACCCCTATTATTTCCTTTAAGTGTTTCTTTGAATACTGTTTATAATGAAATCCCTTTAAGAAATCAGCCTGGTAGGATTTCTGTCATTTTTCTCTATATCCAGATATAAGACAGAAAATGTCCGATGAAAATAATGAGCATGTAATTTTTAACTATAAACCTTTGTAATAAAAGTAAAGGTATATATTTCTTCCATTTTCTTATCCTCCTCAATTATTACATATGTAAATATAATTTGTTTTTGTTTGTTTGTTTTTGAGCACAAGAATCAGTGTGTTTTTTCAGAACCTTACATAATTATACTACTGCTGAAGCAACATTTTATGAATAGTAAATGATAACCCCTTTGAATGTTCTCCTTGTGTTCCCTCATTCTTACTTCGTTTATTTTATGAAGGGGAAGGAGGAATTTATGTAGAGTCAAGTGCAAAGCTATGAGACTAGGGAGCATTTTGCCATGAAATGTAAAAGCACAAAAAACAGGGATAAAGAATTTTCAGTAAATTTTCACAAGCTATTTTCTAATCTTTCTTAAAATCTGTTTTGCAGAATTTTGCAAGTTTCAGATTTTGAATTTTGATTATCAGATTTGAATTCTGAATTGTACCTGTGTAAACTCATGTTTATTCTTAGCAGCTGATTGTATGCAGAGATGCTAGAATAATGTGTTCTCATCACCAACTTATAAAAGTATGTATGCAGATTCCTCATCATCTGAGCATCCAGTTTTGATCTTCAGCCTTCATTATTCTTCACTTTGAGGATTAGCTTTCCTACAGCAATGATAAAAACTTATCTAGTAAAGAAATATGATTGCTTATATTTGGGGTCTTCTACTGCCACTACTTTTTACTTTATGTCCTTTCTTTTAATTTCACCTACTTTATGTCCAAAATTTCTTTCATTTTTTGGCTTACCTTTTTAAAACTAGGAGTAAAAATCACACTAATTATAGATTTAGCATTTTGTTATACTAAGCACCAGGCCAACACCAGAGAAGCACTCTAGGTAGAAAGGCAGGAATAGCTGTAAGCCTTGTATCTCTTCACCATCAAAGATATCTATGGGTAGCCTGATTTTTCTGAAAGCTGAGCTTCCTGCATCGATAGCAGGCATGTATGCATAGTCTTTGCAAATGGAAAGGGATTATGTCTTAAAATCACAGGGTTCAGGTAATGATCTTGAATTGATCCTTTTCAGTTCCTCTGGGGTCTTAGGAGCCCCTCTCTTGAGAACAACTAGAAGGCAGCCCCATGTATTAAATGAAAGCAGTTTGGAGTCACAGCTGTCAGATGATTTAAAACATTGATCTTTCTTTCAGTTTATTAGTTAGTTAATGGCTGCTGAGACCATGCCAAAAATAAAGCATGGGAAAAGAGCAAAACTGCTATTTATATGGTGTCTATCTGCAAATAAATGAAAATCCAGGGTTTCTGCTCTTAAGTTTCAAACTGTGGTTATTTATAAATCTCCTTCACATCCCCTTCCACAGACTCTTCAAAACCCGAGTAAGATAAAAGAATACATGGTTTAAATTTTGTATGATGTGGCCATGGACAAACAAAATGATAAGGGAAAGAAGAGCTCTGGCTCTTTCCATTTCTCAAGATCATCCTATTAAAGGCTTTGACCCCCTTCACTGTCCAGTCTCCTCTCCTTTGTGAGCCCTTTTATTCAGCTCTCCCCCTTCCTACACTGAAGCATTACAGAAAAGATTTAAAAAAAGGAAGAATTAACCTCAGTCCCTTCATCCACCCACTGCTTCTGCTCCTGTTCCCAGCACTTCAAGAGGTCTCCCTCTGACCTCAGTGAAAAATCATTAGCAAGCTCATAGGCAGGCAGGGAAGCATGGCTCTTAGCCCCGCATACTGGCAGAGAGATCATTTTAATGTATGTACAATATATATACCGTGCCTAAACAGGAAACTAGTAAATTTTGATATATTGTTCTGTGGAACTATGGTTCTTCAGGAGATATAATTAAAATGATTTAAATTTTCATAAGCGCTAAGTTACACCTACCTTAGTATTGATTTGTAGCTCAGGTACATGGGTGGTGTTAGCACAGCATGAAAGTTCAAAGCTCGATCCTGGATGGCCTGTATGTTCTCTCTCCTGTATAAATTGCCTACTTAGCTTTTTTCACAGAAATTGTTTTACTGAAAGCTGAGAAACCTATCAAATTTGATTTATATTGATCAGTAAAGTCAACGGGAATTGAAGAAGGATGAGCAAATCAGTGCATGCATGTGCACAAAGCACAGGATTGCATAAGCATTATTTCCTTAGGATACCTGGTGAATAGACCCCCATCTTCCCTTCCTTCCTCTTGCTAACATTTAATAACATAGATATAGTTACATGCTGATATGTGGATCCTAATGCTGTGCATTGCTACCTAAAAACAAGTAGATCTATCAATACATAGAGAGCAGGAACTCTAGTTCAGACCAGGAAAAGCTCAGCAACTTTACACCAGCTTTTCACCAGCTTTTTGTTACAGAGGGTCAGTGAAACTGCCTTCAGCCAAAAGAGGCGTCAGCCAAATCGTTACTGCAGAGGTCTAAGGATTTATTTCAGATATTCCATTTTTAATACATTACAGCGCAGTAAGCATATGTTACATTTGATAGCTATTACTAAAATGAAGAAACGAGTCAATGATTTTGTTTTGCTACCACTGCAGCGTAATAGATGCCAGTGTTCAGGACAGTCTGGTGCTTTCTGAAGATTCCTAGGCAGTCTGCTGCTCAGCTGCCCTGGTTCTCTGTTCCTGGTATTAACTGAAGTTACATCTTAAGCTAATAAACATTCTGTTCACTACAGTGTGGCAGAACATAGTAAAAACGGGATGCAATTACTGAGGGTGTTTTTCTAAAATACAGTGAGAATGTTGAACCAGATTCCTGCTAAAAATGAACTGTTGGAATGCAGAAAACTGGCAACTGTGCGAGGAGTCTGACTTGTGAGAAATCAATGGATTATCTGAAGTATTTGAGTTAGCAGATCTCTCTTTCTGCTCAATGAACTGAATGATTATCGTTTATTCATGCCTGCCTTGAAATGTATGACGGATATATTTAGGAAGGTGGATAAAATGAAATAGACACTAAATAGGCAAAGTTAAATAGAGGAATTTAAATCTGAGGCACATTTACCCTGGGGTGCCTAAAAGTACTATGATTTTTTCATTTTTATAAATGGTT